CATGCCTGCCCCGAATTTGCTCCACCCCGCGCGGCGGCAGACGCACGTGCTGCCAACAACAACAACAACAACAAAAGGATCGGAGTAGCATTATATGTGTATATATATATATATATACAATCTTGTAGACGATAAGCGCCCGTGGAAACTCATCGCGGCCGGAGTAGCAGTAGCAAGGGCAGTAGCAGCAGCACCACGAAGCCCGGACGAGAAGTTATAAACAGCATGATGTTGGAACTACGGCTAGCGTGCTGGTGTTATTGGGGTGTCTACTCGATGGAAAGGACTCATCAGCGTTTCCCCTGCGAAACAAACTGTCAGCGCTGAAATCACGACTAAGTCAGGGAACCGAAACATTGACACGAAGAGGAACAGCTTCAAAAGTACCGGATGTTCTTAGATGCTAGTTTACGTACACACTGAACAGATAAAGAGTGTCAGCTCAAGAACTGTACTGAATGTAAGTGGAAATAAGAAAGCAAAGCAGCAAAAGAGACATTGAAAGAGTTGTTGCTGTTGCAATTGTTGTTACAGTCTTGTTATGGAGACGATCCGCTCTATCAGCGAAGGAGAACAGTTACGATCACGTTATGCAACCTGCCTAATGGACCATGACAGTAGTAAGTAAGAAGAAATCCAGCAGGACTGAAGAACCGTGACATGTCATATTCTGAGTGCAAACGACAGTGCTGGCAGACCTGGACATACTAGCACCGGCAGCAGGCACAGAAGCACCGTCGCAGTACAAGAAGTAGTAGTGGATGTAGTTGTAGTCATCGTCTCCGTCTGGTCGTGATGATGTTCTTATTATTGTAGGAGTATTCGCACCAGTAGCAGTAGCCACAGCCGTAGCCGGTAGCACTAGCGGTATCAAGAGCGGCAGCAGTCGCGGGGGCAGTAGTGGTCGTCATTGTTGCTGCTAGGCATAGGGACAACAGTACAAATACAAAAAATGGAAAGGAGCACCACTACACCACCAGTGATCCCTAAACCCTGAACCCTAAACCCAAAATCCCTAAATCCCTAAACCCTGGGCCCTAATCCCAAAATCCCTAAAACCCTGAACCCTAAACCCAAAATCCCCAAATCCCTAAACCCTGGGCCCTAAACCCCAACAACAAGGACGGCGAAGCCTCGGGGTCTGTGGCTTCCAGGAGCTTCTCAGCTACCGCTGCTTGGCCCATGGTGGCCGCCCAGTGGAGGCTGGTCCGGCCCTTCTTGTCCCGGCCTTTTGCTTGGGCTTTAGGGCTCCGAAGAGGAGTCTGGCGACTCCGAGGAAAGCTCAAGCGGCGAAGAGAGGTAGAGGTTGAGCCAGAAGAGAGGGCCGAGGGTTTGAGGATGTAGGGGTTTAGGGTTTTAGGGTTTTGGGCTTTGGGATTCAAGGGTTTTGGGGGCTCTTCTGGTTTCAGGGGGTTTTGGGCTCCAGGGCTTCTGGATTTGTGCGTCAATCTGTCGAACTTAAGGTCGAGGGTTCGGGCGGCCGCCGAAGCGGAAGTGTTGAACCTTCGACCCAGACTTGCGAAGCTGAAGCATCCCACTTCTGCAGAGTCTAAACTTCTAAACCGCACCACTTCAACACAAATGCCTGCATTCCGAAGAGTGGCCCCTAATGGTTTTATGTGCACAGACCTTGCACTTACTTGAACCATTTAGCCGCACCACCATGCTCCGAAGTAAACAGCGGAGATGCCTTCGGCATCTGCTCCCGCGCTCAGCAGTAGCTCGACGACTTCGTCCTGAACGCGTGCCCAGGGTTTAGGGTTTAGGGTTTAGGGTCATAGAAGCCCTACAGTGCCGCAAAGCCCAGAAGAGCTCCCAAAAACTCTCGGAAAAACGTTGCCTGAAGACCCAAAACAGTGTTCCTGCAAGTGTTCACAAATACCATGGCGGCTGTAGTCCATCAGCTCCAGTCCTAGGGTCTAGGGTTTAGGGTTTAGGGTGTAGGGTTTAGGGTTTAGGGTTTAGGGTTTCAGCCCGACGAAAAGGCAGACTTAAAAGGCTCTAGGACCCTGTTTGGGGTCACAATGTCACAAGAAAGGCAGCTGCACTCACTAAAAAGAACTTACCGAAGACGAATGCCGCGGCTCGATCTAATTGGACTGGGATTTCGCGCAAACTTTAGGTGGCGTTACACTAGAAACATAAGGGAGCTATTAAGAATGATAGTCCTACCTTTTCAGGCCCCTCATACCCTAAACCCTAAACCCTAAACCCTAAACATCTCAAGCCCCAATTTCCCGCCCTCCTCGGCTCCTGGCCTTCCCGCTGCGTGCCGCCCAGTGAAGGGCCGTGAGGCCATCGGCATCAGCCCAGGTGATGTCCGCTCCCTTCCCCAGTATTTTGGGGTGTTTCCGAAACTAGGGGACCCTAATAATATACCCTAAAATAATAGGATCCCTATTATAAGGACCCCAAAATAAGGTACCCCAATATTCGGAAACCCCCATTTCATGCTCAGGCGGCTGAGGGTTTTTGCGGATTAGCTGCTCGGCTGTCCTGGCCTGCTTCAGCTGCCGCCGCAGCCGGCCGAGATCTCCTCGCTCGGCTGCCTTTATTAACGCCGCCGGTGTAGCCTCTTCTTCCTCCTGGCACAGCCACAACAATTTCACGACCCTCACTATCGGCATCATCACCCGCATCTAAAGACAGCACGAAAATCAACAGTCTCGAGCTCCGTAACTGCGGTCAATGCCTTGCCTATGGCGTATGACCAACACTATCATTATCTAGCGAAGCTCCGCTCGCTGAACTCAGACCCCGCGATCCAAAGCAGGCTGGAAGGTGTTGCGGATTTGGACTTGCAGGCTTCTGAACACCAAACCCAAAACACAGCTAATGCAGCGGCCTTAACAGTTAGAACAGGGTTTTTGGGGGTATACTCTACTATCATTGCAAGAAGGAGCCCCCAAAAATAGTAGTGGGGCCCCTTTTATTACAGTTCACTTCCTCCTCCTTCAGGCGCCCCACTAGCGGGTACTTGTTCTTGAAGGACATCACCTTCGATAGCCGTCGAGCGGAACAGCGATTAAGGAGAGCACTTCTCGTCATGCCTCTGAGACTGCTGGATATGGCAGAACATAAAAACAACACCATCATCAAAACAACCGCCCCTGAATCCAAAAAAGACTTCAGCAAACTTCCTGGAGTCCCACCAGAACATGTGAGGTGAAGTCATCAAGCACTGAGACACCCACACCAGCAAGAAAGAGGTCAGAAGATTCTTCGAACCCGACATGCTAATCGCTCAATGACTCAAGGCCTCTATGGGACGGGTTCCGAAGAGAAGTGAAAGTGCTGCATCCCAAACTTCCAGTTTCTAGGAGTCTGGTGGCACAAATCACAATTAGATGCGGTGACGGTTTCCGTCCTTGTCACGTCTATTGCACCGACGACGACAACAGATGACAGAGTGGTCATGCTAGTGATGGTGTTGGTCATGGTGATTCGTTATCATCATCATCATCATCATCAGCAGCAACATCATCAACGATGGTGGTGAGCGGGCTGATTTTTGTCATCGTGGGACATGTTCGTTACTTATCATTCCTGACATCCGCCGGCTTGCCCACGCAGACAGGAAGGCCCTCTCCGCCAGGTTCAGAGGCATCTGCCGTGATGCCTCATCTTCCTCACAGTCCGACAACTCCGACCCAGGATGCTCGAGGCTTTTTTGGTTACCCTAAACCCTACACCCTAAATAACATCCTTTTCTGCGAAGCCCAGGGGGTCTCTTTTCAGGGTTTAGGATCCAAGGTTTCGGGTTCAATCTAGGGGCCTTAACAGGAAACTAGGGTTCCTTTAAGGGCTTAGGGTACAATATGGGGTCTTGAAAGTAAGGAGACGGGGTTCCTTTTAAGGGTATAGTGTTTGGGGTGAAGGGGCCTTGGGTCAGTTACCCAAAAAATCTAAGTGCTTACATAAGACCTCTTATGGTAGGTTTAGGGTTTAGGGTTTAGGGTTTAGGGTTTAGGGTTTAGGGTTTTAGGTTTGCTACAATAGGAATATTACTATGATTTGGGGAAGTATCCCATATGTAAATAGGATCCAGTAGCGTCTCGAGGAGCGGTTGGGCAGCTGAAAACCCGAAACCCACCCCTCCGTTATCATGGTTCGGGTTGAAAGTTTAGGGCAGGGTTTTTAGGGTTTATGGTTTTGAGAGCTTGGGGTTTTAGGGGTAGGGCTTCGGGATGCGAAGCTGAAGGGGGATTGTCAAGACCACTGTAGCTCGAGTCTGCATCGAGGTGTCCTAGTACACCCTTATTCCCCAAGTTTTCATTCCTCAATCCCGGAGCTTTAGACACCGCACCCACAGATTTCCGGATGTTCCGGGCTATATTATAGGAACTATGGTGTAAGTACATGCCATTATGTAGGGGACCCCGCCGCTGCGTGCAAGACTGATTGGGGTTTAGGGTTGTTTTGAGTTTAGGGACACCCGTGACCGAGGACCGCCTTCAGTCGTCCGGGAGGACCTCCTTGCCTTTCGCAAACTCCCGGAGGATCAATGGCCAGCTTGGCGATCTTGACCCCGGTTTAGGGCTTAGTGGTTTGGGTTTAAGGTTTAGGATTTTAAGGTCTATGCTCGTGGGACTTACGGCTTATAAGCTTTAGGGTATACAGCTTTAACTCCCGTCGTGTTCGTGCAGCATATATATTTCGGCATTTCCAGTTTTACTGGAAAGACCATGCGGGATGGCATTAGCGCGTGGGACGTTTAAAACTGCTTTGGAATCTCTCCGCGGATTTGCTGCATGCATTTTAGGGGCTGAGACTTTGCATGCCAAATCGAACACTCACATCATATATCCACAGCGTGGAGAGGAAGACTAGTTGAGAAGACCGCCCTAAACTCTAAGCCTGGCAAGAAAGCGGGGATTCCCTAGGCAGGACCGGCTAAGGTTTAGGAGGCAGGGTACTAAGCATATTTTGGAAGAAAGTTGTTCGTAGGAGCCGTGAAGGTTTAGGGTTTGAGGGCTTAGGGGCCCTTCAGGAACTACTCTCCGGAGATGAGTCTGCAAACTTTGCTGCCCAGGCCCTTCACTCTAGACCAAGAAGTCCATCCCCATAGGCTCCATTGTAGTTCCTTTTAGGATTGAATACCTTAGAGAATCCCAAAAAGAAACCACAAAAAAAGGAACTACAATGGAGCCTGTAGGTAGTTCTCCTGCTTCAACTCCTACAGCCCGAAGCCTGCCCTAAACTTCGAAACACACCCAAGCCAAAGTCTTTAGCCAGGCTCACGGGGCGGGTCAACACGCGCAAAGCCAGCGAGGTTCGCATTTGTTGTTGACAGGGTTTATGGGTGTACCCATAGGCCCCATAGTAGTTCCTTTTTGGGGTTTACCTACTAGGATGCTAAATATAAGCCACAAAAAGGAACTACTCCGGGGTTTATGGGTGTAGGAGCTTGGGTTTTCTTAGCATCCATGGAGACCAGATACCAAAAACTGGCTAATGTTGATCGCAACAACTCGTCTGTCTCTTGTCGTTTCGAATGCTTCGGCTTTGAAGCTCAAAGGCTTGTCATTCCCATGCCCGGGCCTGGATTTGATGGCTCGCCACCCTAAACCCTAAGCCCTAAACCCTAAACCCTAACCCGGTAGATGAGAGTGAAGAGTGTTGCAGCATGGAGCAGTCACCGAAAAGCCGCCGCCGAGCATTCCCAAACCCTCAACTTTTAACTCCACAGCTCCATTAGAAGAAGCTCCAAGGTGCCAACTTCTGAAGAAACCAGCATCCCGGTGAGGACACCTACTTCGAATTCTCGGACTTTTGCGTGGCCCCCCTCCCCATGATCCGACCCCCCCCCCAAGTCCATCATATACCCCCCTCCACCCTATCTCCCGAGCCCTCAAACCCTTTCAGACTCAATCTTCTCGCATTTTGTTGGCCCGGGCAACAAAGTCCGACTTGTTCGTTCAAGGTTGTTTACGCAGCAACTAACTACATGGGTAGCTGGCTTCGCGCTGGGACATTAAATTTGAATAAGACCCCAAACCCTTTGTTCCGAAAAGGCCTTGGTGGATGTCCCTGTTCCAGGTCACAGTGACAAGTGGCCTGGTCTCAAGAAGGGTGTTTGAAGGGTCCCAGAGGCTTAAACATTGGTTCTCATTGTTCTTCCCTTGTCTGGTTAGCCAACCTATGCTTGTAGTACAGGATCCACTTCTCAAGGTGTCAGGGTTCAGGGTTTATGCTTTAGCTGGGAGTGGTAGAGTTTAGGGTTTAGGGCCTTTGCAGGTATACTCAAAGGACAAGTTGATGTAGCAGAGCGATAGATCATGTGTAGATGGCTTACTTGAGTGCACATATCGCATGAGCGACTGAGATTCATCCTGTTTTTGAGACCTAAATGACTTGTTGCACCATAACAATTGGTTTTGCAGAATCACATGAGGCCGGTCTCTGTATTTGGGAGACCAAGAATGTAGTTACTCGAGTCGCACATGCGGGATCCTACAGTTGTTCAAGTATCTGCAGGTTTCAGAAAATAGTACCGGGTGCACCGGGTACCGTTCCGCGGTCCTTCCCCGGAAGGATCTTTCTTTCTTTGTTGCATCTATTACCCTTTTTCTTCCTACTGTATCTAAAGGTTCCTAAAAGTGGAAGTGTCCACGCAAATACGACGGCTCGGGGTCCAGAAACAAAGCTTTGTGAGAATCTCACAGAGCCCGTAAGATCCCTTGAAGAACCCTTTTGAGCCAGTATAGAGGGCCATCTTAGGGCTTAGTCGTTTAGGGCTTAGGGCTTTGAAAGCCTTCGACCCGAAGCTCTAAACCCTAAAGCCCACACCCTAAGCATAGCTTGAACGAATGGTTGTGTTGTCTTTTGTCATTGTGCCTCCTAAGTAACCTCGCTGTGAGCTTTGATCTCTGCAATGCGAGAGGGGCAAAACCCAAAACCCTAAACCCGATCACTACACCCTAAACCCCCAAACTCGAAACTATACCTGAATTCTATATACAATCGTAATTACCATTTGAGGGTTCCTTATTCTGCGTTCCTTGTATAAGTCCTTAGAGCGGTATGTTCTTAAGGGTTTAGGTAAGCCCTAAATTGAGCTGAGGTACTTCACCGGCGTGCTGCGCGAGAGGGACCTGCCAGGATGTTCAGGGTTTACCTGTAGTCTCCATTGTAGTTCCTTTTTGTGGGTTTAACCGATTATATATTAAGGAATCTATAAGGTATCCCCAAAAAGGAACCACAATGGAGACTATAGGTAGGGTTCAGGAGGTTTCATTGGTTCCTTGTTTTTCACATGTAACGGGGCTTTGTGGATGAACACATCCTTTCAAAAAAGGCTTTGCAGGGTGCTTCACCCTTTTGGGTGTTAATATCGGCTTTCAAAGGCATTCAACCAAAAAGTATAAGGTCGCAGAAGTTGTTTGAACGGTTTTTCGCGGGTTTTATTTTCGGCTTTGCATGAGTGAATATGTTGAGTGTTCCATACCGCTTCTAGCAAGAAACCCAATGTCATATGGGCTCAAGGGGTGCGCAGAAAGGTTGATGGGTAGCAAAGATTAATAATGTGAACCCTTGATTAAGCGCCCTTACTGTGTTTATAAGGATGTGTATATTTGATATTTAAGTGGTTTAGTGGCCACGGGTAACATTACCTTTCAAGCTTTTTAATATGGTTGTAACCTAAACCCTAAACCCTAAACCCTAAGGGTAGCGACCCAAATCCTTACACTGACTTCGTGCCTGTTTCACGCCATACGGGACCCTTATATGGGGGTTTCCAAAAATAGGGGACCCGAATATAGTACCCTAAATAATAGGATCCTGATTATAAGGACCCCAAAATAAGGTACCCCTTATTTTTTCGGAAACTCCCATATGTAGCTCTACATCCCTTGCATAATTCACACACATGGAGGAATACGTGTATTGAGACACCCTGGAGACTCTCTAACATCAGCACAGACTTGACGGAAGCCCCATATTGAAGGTCTCGGGTTGCCCCCTTCTCGACAGGAAGACGTAGCCGCCAAATCCAAACCCTAAACTTATAACCTAAACCCTAAAGCCCTAAACCCTAAACCCGTGACATGCTAAACCCGACTTAATATCCCGAAACCCCAATCTCGCCTCAGTCCCGGGCGCTGGGGGCGCCCGAAATCTAAAAGCCTCCTAGAACCTTTGAAGCAATCTAGAAAGTATATAAGGCCCACAGTGAAACCCCCCAAAGCAGTCTAGGATTGACAAAGATTCCCTACACAAGGAGACACCTATGAAGCCTTTTTGGGGGGCCGTCAGGAAGAGTGGCGCTACTGGCAGACGGCCAGGAAATCCAGGTCCGAGTGCTTCAGGCGGGCTTTACTCGTGGAAGCCTGAGCCTTAACGTAAAGCCTCAACCCTAAACCCCTAAATACTACACCCTGAAATCCTAAAGCCCTAACCCCCTAAACCCCTAAATACTAAACCCTTAAACCCTAAAGCCCTAAACCCCTAAATCCAAAACCCTTAAACCCTAAACCCCTAAGCCCTGAACCCTCCAACCACCAACCCCCAAGCTCCCCAGCCCCGGAGCCTTCGACTCCCAAGCTCCGAACCCTAAAAGCCTACAGTAGGGGCTTAAAGAATAATCTATACTGTTTTGGGGGTTCCTTATTATGATTGTAGTATAATAATCTATACTGTTTTTTTTGGGGGGGTCCTTATTATGATT